AAAGACTCACTTATAGAGCGTGTGCCCCCCCAAAGGTAAATAAATGTAAAAGAAGCAAACAAATGGAGTCTGAATTCCGTGCTAGTTATGTTTCCCAGCAGTTTTATGTCAACAGCCTTTAGATTGATACGCTTCAGACCTGCTTTGCATCTTGATAAGGGCTTTGTTGTTTATCTGAGGTTTTTGTTGTCAGGAGGGCAGATAACAGCGCAGAGGGAGAGACGTCAGATCACACAAAACCTGCAGAAAAAGAGCAGAAAGCAGCTGAACGAGGAGCCGCTTTCGGGGGTCCACGGCTCTTTTAGCTCATTCGTAACAACACTAACAAGCCATGTAAAGAAAACTGTAGGACACGAGCAGAAACGTCCCCCCTAATGTGAGTAAATGCTTTGGGCAACAAAACAAGCAGCAAAGTGAAACGCAGGAGGTGGAGGGTGGGTGGTGCTCGGGGAGGAGGTGTGTACTGTTTGTTCTGTGATCCAGACCCATCAATCACTGTGTTTCTGCAGTCTGGAGCACATTCCATGAATCCTGCTGGGTTTTGTTCCCCTTAACCTACAACAGCGACGCAGTTTGAGTCCTGCAGAGCTGAGCGAGGCAGCCTCGTTCCAACATGACTGTGACTTGACAATCATTGTTCTATACTTCATGGATCTTGTGTTAATTAGGGTTAGGCTTTTGTAAGGTTGATTTCGAAATATTTGGTTTCATAATGCCTACAGTCGATGTTTTATTCCTCTACTGTTTGATCACTTTTCCCCTCGGGCAGTCGTCCTCTTGTCAGGGCAGAAGAGCCTCTGTAACAATAAATCTAATTTGAGTTTTATGTTCTCACAGAATTACTTTAAATGAGTTGTAAACATGAGGTTACATAATCTTAAAAAACTCATTCAATAGATAGTTTGGACTTGTCATGCTGCATCTTTAGGACTCATTAGGATAATTATATTAACATTAGCTCAACAATTTAGCTCTTGTACAATCTATAAGCAGTCAATTCTGAAAATGTGTCAGTCTGAGTTTGATTGTGTAATAGTTTGACTTGAAATACAATAATTCTGGACTTTTTGCACAATTATTTGGATTAAGGCCCCAGTTTATCCAAGGGAGTGGGGACTAGGAACAAAAACATTTCTGGACTGCAATAAAATCAAATCAATTGCAGCAATAAAAAATACATTTGGAGTAAAATACCCCAAAGCCATAAAGAAAAATAATAATAAAAGCAATAACGTGAACCAACAAATAGGGTGGGCAGAAATCAACAAAAAAAACAACAAACAAAAAACAGATTTTTAAAATACAGTCAGACCCTCACGGCCACTCTCTCTCTCTGTTTAACAGACCACAAATGAGACAAGAATTAGCTGTTAGCTACCTCACAGTCTCTCCACCTCACTTCCCGCCGCTGTAGACTACTTTCCTAGGTGGAGAGCAAGCAGCAGCTTGAAAGACCGACCTTTGGTTGGCAGCTGTAGTAGCTTGAATTTAGCCAGCACAAACCCTTAATTGTTGGGTGTCACAGTGGGCTGTTGGTGGCCAGCGTTGGGTCTAACCTGTGTAACAGCAGCAACAGAAAGTTTGCTGATCTGGCAGGGAATCAGGCCATGCAGTCCCCCGGAGCTGGAGTTTGTACTGGCTGGATTCCTCTGACTGGGGTTCAGTCTCCTGAACAGCTGCCCAGGCGGGGTCTCAGCAAACACAACCTTGGGCACTTGTTAGTATTACTTGGGGCAAAGACTGGTCTCGGGCTTCCAGGGCTTGGCTGGATGTACGTATGTTACCACAGAGTGAACACTTACCTGCCAGGCTAAAGGTCAGGGATGTAGGCGTACTTGTTGCCTTGCTGTCCCGGCACTGATCTGACGGCTGTCAGTCAGTAAGCTTGCTCTCTGTGTTCCAGCACTGCTGAACGTTGGTTCTCGTTTTACAGTTTATTTGTAGACATTAAACACGCAAACAGTAACTTGAAACAACCCTTAACAGTCCATCTTCCTCACAGCACTCGGAAACATCTCTCAACAAATGCGGTCCCCCACCTGGTCCTAATCGTCTCTCTTAATTACCTCAGCACGCCCCATTTCAAATTATTACAGCCTCTAGGCTTAGGTAAGCCTTACCCACCTAGCCTGACAGCCATGCAGGACAGCTAATAGTGCCATGTAGGATTACCAACAGGACAGGGTGCCCTGACAGTGGTCTGTAGCGGAGGAGAGTGAGGCGGAGAACACACCGATTTCAGGCTCTTGCTAACGTTAGCTACAAAAATATGAACATAAAACCACAGTCAGTCGTCCTTTTTTGGGTTGCTTTGCAGTGCAGGCAGTTGCTGCCAACGCTGGAACAGCAACGTTATCTGCAGGATTCTCCGCCATTGATTTAGGCTTTCGTTGAAGGGACATGCACGCACATCTGCATTTGTTAAACAGCCAGTAGGAACGTCCTCTCTCTGAAATGACCTGTGATTGGCCAAAGTCTCCCGTCACGGCCTAGATCCTCTAAAACCTGAAAACGGAGCCACGCGGAGGTGCAAAAGTCTAGTTTTTTAAGGCCCTTAAAAAGTATTAAAAAGTCGTAAACGCGATTTTATGAAGTATTACATTTTCTTGGCATTCAAGATTTGACGAAAAGTATCCATGAATGTATAATTTATTTTCCTCCTCGCGACTATTACAAACAACGATGTGTAGGTAGGCACACTCGGACTGCCACTCGGGGCCGTGCGCGTACCTGTGCGACATCACGCAACGGCGCACGTCCAGGCGCCAAACAGAGGAGCAAAAGACAATAAAAAATCCTTCTCATCTTATCTGAGTTCTGGTGTATATTTGTGCTCCATAGATTTAATTGCAAACTACAACTGTTTAGTATGTTAAAGATGCGTTGCTGCTAACGACAGCTTGAAGTGGCGATGAGGTCTTAAGGTTTTTTTGGAAGGTCTTAAAAAAGTCTTAAAAAGGTATTGAAATTAACCTCAGGATTCCTGCATATACCCTGAAAAAGTACAGTGTTCACCTCTGAGATGTAGTGGAGTAGCGTCACAACATGGAAATACTTAGGTACAGTTCTAGTACCTTGAACTTGTACCGAAGTACAGTAGTTGAGTACATGTACTTAGTGGGTTTAACCTGGAAGCTCAGACGTCTTTTTACCTGGAGGTCAGTGAATCTGTGCTCAGTGGGAACAGACAGTGAGTCGCAGCAACTGTAATATTTCGGAGAATCCGTGCAGGATTACGTACGAGACAAGTTGTGGGAAGATTCACAGGAACTGATGACAGAAAAATCAGCTTCATCTGCACACAATAAATTGATAGCGTCTTTTCCCACAGGTTGCCCTGAGTGGCAACGGAAAAGGAAATGCATGTAATTGTGTGATAGGAGGAGAACACCCAACTGTAAGTGCCGCGCTGCAGATGCGGTTTGGTTTAGAGGACCGCGGCAGATGAGGAGGCTCTCCTCTGTAATTTGCCTCAGTGGAAATGAGCAGAGCCATTTCCTCTGGATCTGGTGGGGGTGGGTATTACCCATAATGGGACACCCTGGGACCGACTGTCTCTTAAACTGGGGCAAACTGCGTGGCTCGCTGACCTGATTATGAGTGTGGGCTGTCATTAACCTCACAGTTCAAAATGATGTTGATTCATGTCCAGCCAGCTCGGAGATATACTCTGGTCTTTTTCTTGTTTCTTGCTATTCTCACTTTTACTTTTTTCATCCACTTGTTTCTCTTCATCTCCCTTTTCCTTTTATAATTCTCTACTTTATCATGCCTTTCCTCTGCCTCATGTACTTGTACTTGCTCCTCTTTTTAAATCTTTATCCTTTCTTTCACTTTTCATCTTTACCTCCTTAACAGCCTACTCATGTACCCTTTTCAAATGTTTAAATGGGTGCTATTAGTGCTTGTCAGCGTTATAGATATGGGTTAGAAGACTACTGCTACACTGACCATTATGTTCAGAACACTCCATAGCAGTGTGGGAAGGTTTCACTTTCACTTTTGTTAGATTTAGGCGCCAAAACAGCATGGTCAGCTCCAGAAAAAACATGATTTGGCTTAAAAACAGTGCGTTATGTAACATATATCGTGCGACATAACTCACATACTGTGCGTCCCTCATACACCATGTACATAAAAGAATATTTCACCCCTAAAGTGAGGATTTTTATATCAAGTAGTCACTGCTATTACATCAAATTTGTAAAGCAAACTTAAAACTTCAAGGACTGCATTTAACAACAGTAAAATTATATCAAAACATCATCTTACAAACAGTCACACAACCGAAGTCTCGTTATCCAGTTGTATGCTCAGTTCTTCCCAAACACATGCATTTTCACTAACACATACCAATATAAAACACTTCCGCCTACGACTAGGGCGCCTTGAGCAGAGTTCAAATGCGCATTCAGATTCAGCTGTGCATGAGTCTATTTGTACTGAACAGTATTTTAGCAAAATTGCATGTGTTTGAGAAGTACAGAGCATAGGACTGGATAAATGAGACTTGAATTACACAGCACAAGTTGTGTCAGAGCTTGTGAAGTGATGTTTTGATAGTTTTGCTGTTATTAAGTTTGGTCCCTGTTTACTTCAAGTCATCAACAATGTTCACCTTGTTTGGATTCTCCATTCACTCCGGAGACATGCAAGAAAAACAAAAGTCAAAGTTGCATGTTAGCAGTCAGCTCACCAGGAACAAACCATGTGAGTGTACCTACGTCTCAGAGTCCTACAAGTGTGAGCAGCCTTTTGTCCTTCTTGTCCTACTTTTTTTTAAAAACTTGCTCCTTTTTCTCGTCCATGGTTCTCCGTTAACTTACATTTTCTTCTCTTTTTTCGTCTTCTTCAAAAACACAGATTATTTTCTTATATATTTCTACACATTATAATAACATACCAAGATAGTTAGGTGACTATTAATCAGTTAATTAAATGCCAACTGATTGTTGAATAAAAACGAACCTGCACTGACTAAGAACATGTTGTCATTGCAGGTCTCTGAAAAATTCCCCGACCTGAAGAAGAGGGGGAAGGCTCCTCACGCTCAGGACTTAGTGAAGGAGACAAGTTTGCAGACAAACACCTCCAACACGTGGAACCGTCCTCGCTGTGGAGTGCCGGATTACCCCGCTCAGAAGGAGGTGCATTATCGGGGGCGACAGAGACGCTTTGTCCTGTATGGAGGACGTTTGGAGAAGACAGACCTCACCTACAGGTACAGATACCTACATACTCAGTTCTGACCCAATATTAGTTTAATTTGCAGAATTCATTTTATTGTGAAATGAAATGGAAGAACACCACATGATAGGACGGTGATTTATTTATTTCCTGTGTTTACAACCAAGGACGAACGTTTGTTTTCTTTTTTAGCAACACCTCCAGAAAATGACCCAACCCGTCCATTAGGAATATTTTACTATGTCCCCCAATTCTTAGGCATTCTTCAGGGGGCAAACTGAGGCTACAAACAAATGCAAAAAACTAAAAATACAAATATTTTCATACAGAGATTAGATTTAAAGATACAAGGCAGTGACCAATCCACATCTGACCAACAGTGTCCAACACAGTGAAGAGCCATTATGTGGAGCAGAAAAAATTTGTATAAATGGCTGTTATCAGAATCAACACTAGCAAAATCAAGTAAGGGACCTCGAGTGGAGATTTGTTTTTGTCGGTTTTCAAGATCAAAAGTAAAAAATCAAGCTCAACTTTTAAGCCATCAGTGATGAAAAGACCTAAACTTGTTCAGGATAATTTGACATCTACAATTTCATGACAACTTCATCTGCAAAGTTCCAAAAAAAGCGAGTAAATGGACCTTAAAACTCTCACCGCCCTCGTTGTCTTCAGACAAAAAGCTGTAAACAGCCACTGTGCGCCTCCTGCTCAGCAGCAACCAGCAGACAGATACAGTTATACTGTGGTCGCACAGTAGGCGTGACAACACAACACCGTTATCAGCTGCACTATCGTGGAGTTGCTGTTGAAGTGTTACTCAAGTGATTGTTGACCTAGTTAACTTTGTTATGGGCTTGTGTGTGTTTGCTACTTGCAACAAAGGGACTGAACGTTATTTAAAGATTGTATTTGGTCATAAAAGTATCTTTGCTGCTCATCAGTGTCTGAGCCCCCTTTTAACATCACACCTCATCGTCCCATTGCCTCATCTCCATGTGCAACGCAATCCACATAAAGCTAGCATAGCATCAGCAAAAAGTTGAGGCTAGCTAGGCTTTGAGATCGGTGCTGCAGCTGTGGTTTTGGTTCACTGGGAAGCTAACAGAGCAGCTGACGGAGCTGTGGATGTATAAAGAGACCTGGATACAGCATTGGAGGCAGGCCCTGTTCAATGGTGCATGAAGCCAAAAAACTCTTTTCTGCAGCATTAAATTACCTGGATGATCGGCAATGCTCCAGCATCACTGGACCCATACAGCAGGTGCACGAGGGACTACTTCTCCTACAGCTGGCTAGTTCTGGTTTAGCTCTCCGCTAACATGCATGAGCATAAAATGATTTAATTGTGCAGCTCTTCTGGACTTTCTAAGTGTTATCAATCGAAGATGCTCAATGCTCAAAGCTCAGTTTCTGCAGTATGATATAACCCAGTTCTTTCACACTGTGGCGCCATAGAGCAAGTGCACTTGAGACTTACACCGGCCAACTGCAGCCAAACAATTAACTTCCTGTTTACCACTCTGCTAACTTGAATGGGGATGAAATTATTTAATCGTGCAAGTCATTTCATGGGGGTTGTGACGCTAAAGAAAATGCAATCACTGATTCACAGACGTCTCTTTCTCAGTGTAAGTCTTTGGGAAATAGTCTTTTGGGTCCCAAGGCATCACTCGACAGACCTGGACGGTGCAGTTTCATTTAGACTACTATTACTACAGCTTCAAAGCCTGCCGCTGTTCCCGAGTGCTTGGACGGAGCAGCCAACGGAGCAACTGATGAAGCTGCCAATGGAGCGGCTGTTTAAGGGATTGATGGAACGGCTGATGGAGCTCTGTGGCCAGCTTCCCAGCTTTGGGTGCCTCTGCCTCCTGTCTGAAGTTGAACCCTTTGGCTAAGTGGAGCTCTGTTGATGGCTTCCAGGCTTCGCCGCACTCCTGCCTCTTGGCTTTCTCACTCAGATGTGCTCTCAGACACTAAAATATGGAATTAACGTGAACGTGTTCTCTGTAGTGCTGACGTGATTCAGTAGGTACCCTTAAAAGTACTGAGTTTGGTAGCTAACCTATGTAAATAAGCAGCTGTTTGCTAGCACATTAACCATATCAACTTGAAATGTAATACGTCAGTGTCAACTTGTCTCCACTGCCCCCAAGTGGCCAAAGGAGAAATCATTTAGTGCAGATTTAAAGAAAGACTTACACGAGATGGCACGCTATTGAAGTTCATGACATTAAAAGTGATGACTCCATTGCGACACGATCTGCTGGACTTCAGACACATTAAATGGTGGACTCAAGTAAAACAATGTAACGTGGGAGGGCTTATATTGTTCTTAGAAAATGAGGTCTTGAAGTTATGATTCTGACAAATGAGTGCCGTTTTTTTTTTTCATATGAGGCCTTGGCACCGTCAAGCGTCTGGCTGCTGCCTCTCTGTCTGTGTCTCCCGGGGTCCCTTTCATTGTAGTCATTCTTTAACACAACAGTATATTAAGACAGACAGAGGGACGGAGAGAAAGAAGGGGGAGCAAGCACCGGCCACAGACTAATAAGATTGTGCTGGATCGGACCAATAAAGCGCTCAAAGTGACACCTGACAAAGTAACCAGAATCCAGGCAGCAACCGGCAAAGTCAAACTATACTTCTGTATGACCTGACAAAGCCACTGTTGCTTCTGTGTCCTTCTAAACGGCTAAAATATGAGCGTTGAAAGGGTGGAGAGTTGTTTTAACGGTTTAACGGCTGTTAGCAAAACTGAAAAGGAGCTCTCTGTGCCACAGAGCTCCATTGTTGTCCATAAAAACTATTAGAATCACTTCATCGAGCCACACTTGGTGACATGTTTCTTCATTCCTACGAACACACACACACACACTGTAGTTTATTTTGACTCAATCCCACATTCACTGTCCTGCTGCCACAAATACTCACTAGACCACCAAATGTGAATTAATCCGCCTCTGAAAATAGTCCCCAACAAAAGCACTGTTTCCTCCAGTTTGTTTGATGAAAAACTCAAGTGACCAGTGCGCTAATGTCTTCGTTATCTTTTTTTTTTATAAATATGTTTTATTGTTTTCTTACAATTATTATCCCACAGAGATGAAAAATACAGAACAAATGCATATCACTTCAATTTACATATTCATCCCCAAAATGTAGAAGTGCATTGTTCAGCAGATATATTGACACAGTGAGTTCACCATTCCCATCCCCACCCACCCACCCACAGGTTTACATGATATAAAGCACACTTGGGGAGTAAGAAAACATAAATAAAGAGAAAAAAGAAAAACAAAACAAACAAAGCAAAAGCAAAAACAACCTCACTGATAAAGATATAGACTGAAAATCAATTAAAAAAAAATAAATAAATAAATAAATTGATTAATTTAAAAAAA